AGATATAACCTTATCCCGATGTTATACTCATCAAGACCTTTCATTTGAGTACCCACATCAATTTTTCATATATTTTATGTATTTATATATATTATATATATGTATATATGAGAAATATATGAAAATGCAAGTGGGTAATCAAATGAAAGCTCTTGATAAATGTAACATCGGGATGAGCTTATATCTTTAAAAATGTCAATAATTAAAAAATGACCTTGTATTTTGTGAAGTATTGACATTTTTAAAGATATAAGCTCATCCCGATGTTACATTAATCAAGACCTTTAATTTAAGTACCCACATCAATTTTTCATATATTCATATATATTATATATATGTATAGATGAAAAATATATGAAAAATTGATGTAGGTACTCAAATGAAAGCTCTTGATGAGTGTAACATCGGGATGAGCTTATATCTTTAAACACGTCAATATTTAAAAAAGTACAGTGCAATTTAACGAAAGTCATTACTTAATAAAGCAAAATTTTATTTATTTATTGTTCACAAGTCAAAAGCTTAAAGAAAAATTATTTTTTCCATTTCTCGACTCAAAAATTAATGGTAATAAGTATATATCTTAAAAATCTTGAATGCCTTGACAATGTAAGTGTTGACAATTAAAACGAAAAAAATGATAATAGTAAGTAGCAATCAAAATGCGTAGGCCGAATGGTTAATCGTCGAGCAATTAGAGAGGGTCGCGGTAGCAATTTCGGTTGGAGACTCGAGACGGTGTTATATTAAACCGGTGGCAGGGTACCTTGGTAGTTAGCCGTGCCCATGGATAATCGTCGCCCATAAATAACATTTATCGGGGGTGCGCCACCGCCTAATTGCTCGCCAATGATTACTCGCGGAACAATTTAAAAGGGAAACAATAAAAAATTGACTGCTTCCATTCGATGCTTGTCATTCATCACAGCGAGTGATTAAGCGGGTCAATATTTCAGTTTTAATAATTTATCGAATAGAAGAACAAATCGTTTTATTCAATTGAAGGAAAATTAATTTTACCATGAATTTTTTTTTCTTATTTATTGCACATACTGAAAGAGGGCAGGCAGGAGGTTTCTTTTCGTATGAATGAGAATTCTAAGCAAAGTTTAAACTTGCATAAAACGGTAAAATACTTTACCTGAAAAAGCATGTAGAGACGATAAATTCGCAATGTTAAGCGAAATATTTCGAGTCAATTCGTGCGAACAGTGAACAGTGAAGATTGCCAGAAATCTTGTACAAAAGATATGATTCCATATAGCTTTTTGCTTCCTCGGTTTGGATCGAGTTTATTCTCCTTCCCTCTACTCTTCTCAACAGAAACTCAACAACTTTAGAGTTGGATTTTGATGCTTCTCTTGAATACACAATGGGATTTATCCGTTTTCGGTGATGTAAAACACAAACCGTGTGTATGAGTGCGTGCGTGATTGCTAAATTATTGAGATGAAATTTTGTCGGCCAATCACGTACTCTCCTTTTAATATTTTAACGGGAAACAGGAGGCATAAGCGGTGTTCAGTGTTCAGTAGAAATTCCTCAATTCGACGGCTAGCAAGTAAAAGGGAACACGTGTATTGGGGAAAAAGTTAACGATACAGCGGAAAAGGAAAAAAAAATTTTTATATTGTTACATTAAAATTCTATGATCGTATTAGCATTTTTATCGTACAAAATAACATTATACTTTTGATAAATTATTGTTCATTTATTTAATATACATTAAAAATATTAAGTTAAATATTTATCTCTACTAAATAATATTTATGTCTTAATTATAATTTTTAAACACTAATTAAATGATTTTTGAGTACTTGCTTGTTACTATTTTTTAACAATACAAAAAAACATGTTCTACATTATTTTGTTTTTTTTCTTTTTATTTTGTGAGATATAAAAAGCAAAAATTAGAATTTTTGTTAATTTTTGTTGTCAAAAAATTTTAGTGGAATTTAATTTTGTAAAAATTGAATTATTGTTAAATAAAAAAAATTAAAAAATTTAGAATAAAATTTTTTTACTTTTTATTTTAATCTACATTATTAAGAGAGTAAAAAAAATTTTGTCTCCAGGATACTCATATCTCAACATACATAATTAAGAAATAACCTTTTATCTTTTGAAATATGGACATTTTTAAAGATATAAGCTCATCCCGATGTTACTCTAATCGAGACCTTTCATTTGAGTACCCACATCAAATTTTCATATATTTTATATATTATCTATATGTATATATGAAAAATATATCAAAAATGCCATGTGGGTACTTAAATGAAAGTTCTTTATGAGTGTAACACCGGGATGAGCTTATATCTTTAAAAATGTCAATAATTAAGAACTGACATTGCTATCTTGTGAACTATTGACATTTTTACAGATATAAGCTCATCCCGATGTTACACTCATCAAGACTTTTCATTTGAATACCCACATCAATTTTTCATATATTTTATATATTTATATATATGTATATATGAAAAATATATCAAAAATGCATATAGGTACTCAAATGAAAACTATTTATGAGTGTAACATCGGGATGAGCTTATATCTTAAAAAATGTCAATATTTAAGAAATGACGTTGCTACCTTGTCAATTAATGACATTTTCAAAGATATAAGCTCTCCCCGACATTACACTCATCGAGATCTTTCATTTGAGTACCCACATCAATTTTTCATATATTTATATATTTATGTATATTATATATATGAATATATGAAAAATATATCAAAAATGCATGTGGGTACTCAAATGAAAGCTCTTGATGAGTGTAACATCAGGATGAGCTTATATCTTTAAAAATGTCAATATTTAATAAAGTACAGTGCTATTTAACAAAATTCATTATACTTAATAAACCAAAATTTCAATTTTTTATAGTTCGCCAGTCACGACAGTCACATAGTGAAGGTTGCTAGTAATTATAATAATTTTTTAGAAATATGACTTTCTTATTTTATATACTTCTTTACAATAATAATAATAATAATAATAATAATAATAATAATAATAATAATAATAATAATAATAATAATAATAATAATAACATTATAAATATTTCACAAACTATTCGATGGATTTGAAAAACAACAACTGATATAATTAATAATAAATAATTTTTATTTAATACTAATAATAATAATAATAATAATAATAATAATGACAATATTAAAATCTGCAAGTATTTTACATATAAATCGTAACAGCGTAATGGAAGCATAAGTCGCAGGTACGGATGTGTATGTCGAATCTTTGACTCCTGGGTAGCAATCTATCTAATTTTCGAGATAAATAAAGCATTCAACTTGTGCATATCCCGGTCCCCACCTCCGCATCCGTGCTTTAGTTTTTGCTCCGCTTTAGTTATTTTATTTTTTATAATATATAGAGCCCCGTAAAAGTTTGGGCATAACTCAGCCTCGTTATCTGACTCGCAAATAAGGCAACGCAAAAGTTGGCCGCATCAATCTGGCCTCGGAGATTCCAAGTTGAAACGACGCTAAGTCACCCCTAACGTATTACACCCCCGGGGGTGCCCGGCGAGCGTGTCGCTCGATTTCGATCTATCTCTGCGACTGTGAATTCAACCTCGTAACCATCGCACCTACCTATCTAATGCTATATTAGTATGTAGTGTCCCGGTAGTGTCAAGTTATACATCATTATGTTTGGCAAACTCACTTATATTATTCTTTTTATCCAGCTATATATAATACTACTACACTTAATTCATTTATTAGTCGACTAATTTATTTACTAACTATTATTATTATTTTAGTTTTTATTTTATTTAACTCACAAGCACCGAATTTTTGAAAATTTATAATTATAAATTAACAATAAAAATTTATCACAAAATTTAATGGATCGATTTTTTTTTTTTTTTTAGTTTCACAGTTGAAATTTTTTTTTTTTTATTTAAGTTAAATTATTGAAAAGTAAAATTTATTTTACACAGAAAAAAAAGTTCACTTGAGCCAAGAAAATATTTTTCTTCTTAATTATTTCATAACAAAATATCCCTATAAATATAATTTTTTAATTAAAATTAGTGTTAAAAAATTCCGATAGATGGCGAATGACCGCTAAATTTTCTTATAAGTAGAGAGTTAAGTTTTAGAAAATAAGATATGAAATAACAATTATTTTTTGGCTCTTTTAAGGAGATTATTTGTAAAATGTCCTTAAAAAGAATAATTAACATTTAAATTCATATAATTATCTTTTAATAACAAATATTACTTAACTAGGCCTTATAATAACAATTTTTACAAGCAAAAAAAAATTATTTAAAAATATCCAATCAATTTAATAATTTTCCAAGTTAAAAAAAAAATAAATTTTTTTTCTTATTTATAAAAAATAAAAAATACACAATAAAAAATTCAGCGTTAAAAAATTTTTTTTTTTAAATTTTAATGTTAAATATTTAACACTAATTTTTTTGACGCAAAATTTTTTACTGTTAAATTAAATAAAGTAAAATTTAAAAACTGTGGTGTAAACTTCTTCCATACCTGCGATCACAATTTTTCGGCAAATAATCAATGTCTACTATTATATATAATTTAGCTTATTGTTAGTATTTATTTATATTTATTAGTTTATTTATTTGGAATGAAAATCGAATCAGCAATAAAACAAGATTTATTATTTGGCAGCATACGGATGTTCCGTTTTCTTCTTGTTCTTACGTATGGATCGTTATTATTATTGTTATTTTTAATATAACTGCTAGAGTAGCTGTTGGGGGTTGGGGTTGGGTGGCTGTGATTCGATTTTAGTAACCTTGTATTTTACTTTGTTTGTCATTTGGTGTCGTAGGTAGCTTGTGCGTTGATGCCGTTTAAATTATTCATGGGGTTTAGAGCGTTATGGGCTGCGGAGGTCGCGGGAGTCGGGTACCCGTTGTGGTTATGCCCAGCATCTCCGTTTGTCTGCCTCGTATTGCCTTGTGCCAAAGCCTGAAGAAACAAAACAAAAGAATAATATTTCCATTAATTTTTTTTTCATTTTTTTTTGGTTTATAATTTCGCCATAAGATGGTATTTTTTACCCCTTTACTGCACTTGTGTAATCGAAGTTATATAGAAAGAAAAATAGGAAAATTTTAATATTAAAATAAAATTTTTAAATCTTTCAAGAAGAAAAATTATTTTTAGTTATTATTTGCTTGTAAAACCTATTTTCTTTTGAACCTGAACCAATTCGTGGAAATGGTTGGTATCTTCGCGGTTTTCCCGGATATGGAGGATTTCTTGCTCTTAAGATTTTTAAAAAAGTGTAAAAATAAAAGATTTATTTTACCATATCTTCAATAAATTTTATTTCTTTCAATCAAAGTTGTCTAATCAATTCATTTTATATATACTTTAATGAACAAAACTTAGAAATTATCGAGAAGATATATTTTTTTTGGTAATTAAATACTTGTAAAAGCCATTTTCTTTTGAAAAAATCTATTTAATTAACTGTCAGCGTGGAAAAATTATTTTGCAATGCGCAATATATTATTTTGTTAAAAATAAAGTAAAATATAAATTAGGATTCTGTTTTACGGAAAATTTTAAACGCATAAAAAGTCAATAAAGTTGATGTTAAAAAATTGCAGAAAGTATTTGAGAACCAATTGCATTTTGAGCTTGAGTTTATTTATCACTTCGTTGATAATTGCACCGTTAAATGACGTCAATCACGACTTGAAAATTTACACGTGTAATCTTTATGTATTGTAGCCTTCAAAATTTCAAGTTGATAATAAACAATATTATAAAATGTAAAAATTTTCATACGTAGATCACTTTTTCTTTTGCAGTGCTAGCATAAAGTTTGTAAAAAAAAATTTTGTTCTTGAGTTCAAAAGTAATAATGAATTTTCATAATTCGTTTTTTACCTTGGTATGGATGTTTATCATCGTAAAATTAAACGTATCACTTGTAGTATCAAAAATAGTTCCATTTCAAAATGGGGATGCGAGAGATTGGCGCGAAACTGGAGATGAAGGTAAGATTCTCGAAGAAAATTTATGATTAAAATATTTTATACTCTTACCATTATGTTTCTACACTGAAAAAAAAATCTCAACTCGAATCGAGAGAAAAATTCTTGACCCAAGAAAACAATTTTGAAGATTTTCATTGGCTTGAGTCAAGACAAAAATTTTCTGAATCAAAAAAAAATTTATTTAAGCCAAGAAAAATTGTTTAGTTTAAGAATTCTTCTACTCAAATTTTTCAAAATTCTTTACTTGATTCGATGAAATTTTTTTTTCTGTATAATTATGATTTTTTTTTTCCTAATTTTCAAAGTAAATCTTGCAAAATTCAATAATTGGCACTCAATTGTCATGGACGAAGAACAATTGAGAGCAGATCATTATTGTTCTGGAAAATGTGATGGTCTAAGTGAATTTACTACAACCAGTGCTTTGTCCTTAAAATATCCAAACCAATGTAATGGACGAGTTGTTAGTTGCTGGTTATATGAAGTAGCTAGCTAGCAGATTTCAATGTCTAACTCATAATCACAACAACCGAGTATTTAAATAAATTTTTTAATTTATAATTTAGGAAACTCAAAAACGTAAAGATGCGAAATCTAATTTCGATAGTGTTCAATTTGGTACTTTGATGGTAGCGGGAGGGTCTGATAGACCAGTAAATACTGACGCGCTTGATCAAGCTCTGTATACACTTTATCACACTGGAAATAAGTGCAAATGCTTATGTAATCGTCTTAATGATTCTAATCCTAATGATGATCGAGGCAAAATGCTCGATTCTATTTGTATAGATCCCGCTTCAGTAGATAAAGATCAGTAAGTAATTATAATTGTAAGCGACAATTATTTATTTATTCATTTATTTGCTACGATCTTGGAGTAAACTCCGTGGGACCATAATTCTTTGATAAAAATTTTGAACAATGTTATTAGCTATTCTAATTTAATTTTATAATTTTATAATTTTATAATTTATCACACATAGTACTAGGAACATTAATCATCGCTTATCTATATTATTAAGAGAATAAGAACAATTTTTTTTCCAAGATAGTCATAAGATATAATCGATTTTTTTTAGTGAAATTTAGTGTCATTGCAAAGGTCTTGACTTGAATTTGTGTTTTTTCAAGGTTTCATATAATTCTCACCGATAGTCAATTGATTATGATAAGTATTTAGGCTGCATTCGAAAATGCTCAATCTCTAGATACATAATTAAGAAATTACCTTTTATCTTGTGATGTATTGACATTTTTAAAGATATAAGCTCATCCTGATGTTACACTCATCGAGACCTTTCATTAGAGTACCCACATCAATTTTTCATATATTTTTATATATTATATATATATATGTATATATGAAAAATATCTGAAAATGCATGTGGGTACTCAAATGAAAGCTCTTGATGAGTGTAACATCGGGATGAGCTTATATCTTTAAAAATGTCAATAATTAAGAAATGACCTTGTATCTTGTCAACTACTGACATTTTTAAAGATATAAGCTCACCCCGGCATTACACTTATCGAGACCTTTCATTTGAGTACCCACATCAATTTTTCATATATTTATATATATGTATATATGAAAAATATATCAAAAATGCATGCCGATACTCGAATGACAGCTCTTGACGATTGTGACATCGGGATGAGCTTATATCTTTAAAAGCGTCAATATTTAATAAAGTACAGTCCAATTTAACAAAAGTCATTACTTAATAAAGCAAAATTTTATTTCTTATAGTTTACGAATCACGGCAGTCACATAGTGACTGCACGGTTGCTAATACATATTATTAACATATCAACGTATATCTGCGCATCAAGTTCAAAATTTAACTCCTGATTTAATTAACAGACATAAAGTACAATTGTGATATTAATATTTAGTTATTTTAACTTTCAGTGTCGTAACTGGTGTCAGATTTAAAAGATATGACAATGTGATCCACTTGGAGCTTCAACAAGCTGAATTCAATAACTATCGAGTTGTTTCGAAACCGGAGTGGAAAATTTCATACCCTTGTAAGGAAAAAAAATACATTGATGATATTTCCTATTCAAAATTGCAAGAATCTTTCAGCATTATGGCAGAAGATTTTGTTTTTTCCGAAGATGCTGTTGTTACAGGTAAAATTTTTACCTATACAGAAAATAAAATTTAATTGAAGTGAAAAATATCTTATCCAAAATTATTAAAAAATTTTTTTTGCCTTGTAAAATCTCAATAATTAATGTGCACAATAGGTGTGACACTAGGGGAGTCATTACGCGGAAGATACATTAATGCCAATGGTAATTTTGATGCAAGAAGAGACGAATTTGAAAGCGTCTCTAAATATATCAATATGTAATTGTACTATAAATTAATAATTACAAAAAATTTACAATTTTATCAAGTAATTATTTTAGATCTATTTTAACTCGCAAAACATTTTTTCAGGTGTGAGGCCGGTTATGAAAATATATGTCTAACTATTGAACGAATAAGTCTTCGTGATTATAGCCAAAGTGATCGAAATCCACGTGTGTCTACCGCCACTAAAGAGAATTACGAACGCAGTGAGTCATGTAAAACTCGGATATTTTTCCGGCATACTTCTGCAACTGAAAATGACATACAAGCCATTGTTCCATACATTGATTTACAAGAAGTAATAACCGTCCCACCTGAACCAATTCGTGGAGTTGGTTGGTATCTTCGCGGTTTTCCTGGATATGGAGGATTTCTTGCTCTCAAGATTTTCAAAAAGGTGTAAAAACTTTATTGTACCATTTCTTCAATAATCGATGAAAATATCTTGTTGTCCAAACAAAGTTTAATAAATGAATTTCGTCCACTAAAAATAATCAGCCGTTGCATTATTGTCGTACCTATCCCCATATTTTTATTCAAATTTTAAGCACTCAACAATTGAAGTCACATTTTTTTTATAAGTTTAATTTCGGAATCGAATATGATGAAAGCGTAATTGTCGAAAGCAAAGCAACTGAAGATTAAAAATTTCCAGCATAATTATGCAGCGATGCAATGTGATGATCACCGTCGGTGTTATTTAGTGTCAGCTGTAATTCGATGGAAACAAAAAAGTTAGAAGTACAACAAGTATCTCAACTCGGGGCGGCAGCTCGGCTCAGAATTAGTTTGTGCGCTGTAAAAGGGGGAGGGATATGTATCTGCAGAGTGTGTACTTTGAGGCGAGCTTCCGAAGGGATATTTATGTGGAGCAAAAGCTGCCGGCGACGTGAAGCGTGAGAAGAAGGAACTAAGAATTGTGGAGATGCGAGCCGTCGAAAAGTTTAAACTCCTCCGGTTTCTCAACCTCTAAAGTCCCCTCTCTCCCTCAGCTCTTCCTTCTCGATCTTGTGCTCTTCAGGATTCGTTGCCCCGAGTCTCCCTCTCGAGCTTGGCTTACACGGGCAAGGTGTTAAATTAAACAAGCTTAAAATTTGCAATCGGCCCCTCGCCTCTTACTCGGCACTCACTTTCCCAAAGTTTAGCCTTTTTTCCTCGAATATTCACTCCCGATTATCTCGTCTGCCGAAAACCAAACAAATTTCAAATAAACTAACTTATTAATTCCCCGTTGAATTTTATTTACTCTTCTCTCTGTTCAGCGATTAAAAATGGTAATAAAAAATCATAAATCAGTGGGTCGTAACTCTTTCCTGGGAATTGTAGATAAAAGTAAAATAAGTCATAGCCTTAATTTACTCCTTACGAGTCGTTGGCTGTGTAGTCCTTCTCGAGATTTCTTAATTACCTACAGCCCGAGATACTGAACCGAAAAGGTACCACAGTATTCCGTTCAGAATACGCATTTATACACAGAAGGTGGAGTTGAACCACCCGAGCAGACTAAAAAGGGTTGTCTGGAGCTTCGGGTATGCATAAAAGTCCAACAACCGGGTTTTTAAACGCCATGAATAAGGGAGCCAGAGATTTACGGATTCTTCCACCCAAGCACGATTAACTGCCACGGGTTCCTGTCATTTTTATCACTATTATTTACAGTCCAAGTCTAATTACGCCTCCCGATCCACGTCTCAGTCCGATAGTGCTTTTTCTCTCGGCAAATAAAATTCAATGCAATTCATTCGACTCATTTTTATCTATATTATTAAGAGAATAAGCAAAATTTTGTGGCCAGTGTATTTATGTGACAAAATGAATTTTCATAGTTAAATTTGGTATCGTTGGAAAAGTCTTGACCTGGAGTTGTGCCTTTTCATAATTTCATATTATTCTTACCAATAGTGAATTTATGATGAAAAAGTATTTAGGCTGTATTCGAAAATGCTATATCTCTAGATACATAATTACGAAATGACCTTGTATCTTGTGAACTATTGACATTTTTAAAGATATAAGCTCATCCCGATGTTAAACTCATCAAGACCTTTCATTTGAGCACCCACATCAATTTTTCATATATTTTATATATTTATGTATATTATATATATATGTATATATGAAAAATATATCAAAAATGCATGTGGGTACTCAAATGAAAGCTCTTGATGAATGTAACATCTTTAAAAACATCAATATTTAAAAAAGTAGAGTGCAGTTTAACAAATCTGTAGATACATAATTAAGAAATTACCTTTTATCTTGTGA